TTTAATTATGTTCTCTCTTTTTCCCCACTCAATATCTGAATCAGTGATCAGTAGTTGGGGCTAACTGGGAGTAAATAAAAATTCCCTGATTTGAGAGTGTTTCACCTGTAACAGGACAAAAAGAAAAAAACCAAACCCACTTTTCTCCCCTCCTGCAATTCCAGGAAATTCAAAACTGTCTCCCCCCAGGTTTTTTATTAATCCTAGAATTGGGCTGGTTTTGCAGAGGCTTACAGGTTGTGTACCTATCTGTAGCTGCTCTCCCCCCCTCCCACTTGCACAGCTGTGCCTTTCACTGTCCTGCTGTCCCACACGCCCTCTCTTTTCATCTCATTTGCTTTCAGGTCTCACCTCCACATTTTTTCTCCTGTGCCTATTCCTATGCTGGTTTTTTTTTATTCTAGACTTCACAGCTGTATCATTTGTATGAAGCATAGCAGCTCAAAACACATTCCCCTAGCAAGCAGTGCTTTTCTGAGTACTGGGGAAGCAGCAGGTGGTTTTAGTCCTACTCAGTTTATACTGTAATGATCACTCCATTGACTTAACAGAACCCTACCCAGGAAGGCAGAATTGAATTCAGAGTCACTGAAATTTATTAGAAGTAATAATCTAGGTTCAGATTCAGCCATTTTTAGTTATGAGAAGCACTATTTAATGGAGCTATTTGCCAAGTTAAAACTTTCATGAAAAAAATCAGCCCCTGAAATTTTGGGTTTCGGATTTCAGGATGCAATAAGCTTGAATCTACACCCATTCCCACTGGTGCAACTCACTTGGAAGAGGTGGGTTCATTTCTGTAGTAAAGTACCACAGTGCAGAATCGGGTCAGAAATACACGCTGGAAAATAATGTAATAAAGTGTCCAACTACAGTGGTTTTTTTCAGTCCTATGAGTTCATGGCTATTGAAGACAACTTAAACTATTGTGCAAGTTTCGAGCTGGCTTCCCGCCAAGTCCCCGAAACTCGACAACAAGGACCCACCTCCCAGAGAGGGAAAAGGGAAAAAAAAAAAAACCAAGCAGCCAAAGCTATAGCAAATATATATATATATATATATATATTACATATGAGACAGATACACAAAAGGAGAATACCACACACAGAAGGGGGGGGGGGGGGGGAAAGGGGAAGGGAGAAGGACAAAAAGGGGCAAGGACCGAACAAGCCAACCAGCCGACCGAAGGCAAACTAGCAAAAATCTCACCACTTCCCTTCGAACAGGCAGGATGGCTAGACACGGCCCAAGGCTCTCCCCTCACGCGTGGCAGATAACGGTAGTCACTGTAGGCCTCGGCTCCAGATAAACCAGACCAAAACAGGGACCCGCCGTTCTCGAACCTCGCCGGAAAGGAAGAGAGCGAACTCTCTTATCAAAGCCTTATTTATACCCTAGGTTACGTAAAGGAATAGCATGGAATACTTCCTTGGTCACCTTCCCAGTTCCTTCCTGGTTACAAGCTGGTTTCCAGGAAGGCCTAGACTGAAACCATCACATTCTCCACCCCTTATTCCATACTATTTCTTTACGTAACACCTGTATATTGTGTTCGTCTCTATCCCGTACATATACATATATACATATATAGTCCATGTTTATTTTTTCTCGAAGGCTGTCGTCTGTCATTGAAGATCAGCACCACCAGCAACTCGATTTGTGTTCTTGGCCCTTTCGTCATAATCACAGTTCCGGTTTAGGGCTGGCTCATTGGTTTGGGCTGTGTCATCGTCGGCCATCCTTGGATTCTCGTATCAGCTTTGTTCGGGTCTTTTTCCGTCTGGTGTCTGGTCTCCTGTAAAATACAACTCAAGGCACAGAATTAGTTTTTCCCCAGGCTTAGGTTTCCTTGAGGCACACATTGGATCTCTCCGTCCTTCCTCATAACCCACCAGGTATATCCAGGCCCTTGAGCAAAGACAATCCCACGAATGGGTTTGTCTTGGCCTGAGGGAGGAGTGATCCAAACGGCCTTACCTAACATACCTTTTAGATGGATCGCTGGAACTTTGTCTCCATCTACAGTGTGGAGGGACTCTGCTTGGGCAGGACCAGCTCGGTTGACAGAGCCTCGGGTGTTGACTAACCAGGTGGCCTTGGCTAAATTCTTGTCCCAATTTTTGTAAGTTCCCCCACCTAGTGCCTTTAGAGTCGTCTTCAACAGTCCATTACACCTTTCTACCTTTCCTGCAGCAGGTGCATGATATGGAATGTGATATACCCATTCAATACCATGCTCCTGTGCCCAAGTGGCCACTAGACTGTTTTTGAAATGAGTCCCGTTGTCTGACTCAATTCGCTCTGGAGTGCCATGTCTCCACAGGACCTGCTTCTCAAGGCCTAGGATGGTGTTTCGGGCTGTTGCATGCGGTACTGAATATGTTTCCAACCATCCGGTGGTTGCTTCCACCATGGTAAGCACATAGCGTTTACCTTGGCGGGTCTGTGGCAATGTGATGTAATCAACCTGCCAGGCCTCTCCATACTTATACTTCTCCCATCGTCCACCATACCACAGGGGCTTCAGTCTTTTTGCCTGCTTAATAGCGGCACAAGTCTCACAATCATGGATAACTTCAGAAATTACATCCATGCTTAAATCCACCCCTCGGTCTCGTGCCCATCTGTGGGTGGCATCTCGGCCCTGATGACCGGAAGCATCATGGGCCCATCGAGCTAGAAACAATTCTCCTTTCTGCTGCCAGTCTAGGTCTACCTGTGACACTCCTATCTGTGCAGCTCGGTCTGCTTCTCTGTTGTTATTGTGTTCTTCATTAGCTCGCTTCTTGGGCATGTGGGCATCTACATGGTGGACTCTCACATTCAGATTCTTCGCTCTGGCAGCGATGTCCTGCCACAAGTCAGCAGCCCAGATGGGTTTTCCTCCACGCCTCCAGTTCATCTTCTTCCATCGATCTAACCATCCCCATAGAGCATTGGCTATCATCCACGAGTCAGTGTAGAGGTAGAGTCTTGGCCATCCTTCTCGTTCAGCAATGTCCAGGGCCAATTGGACGGCTTTGAGCTCTGCAAATTGACTTGACTCGCCTTGACCCTCAGCAGCTTCTGCCACTCGTCGGGTGGGACTCCAAACGGCCGCTTTCCACTTCCGGTTCCTTCCTATGATACGGCAAGAACCATCAGTGAAAAGGGCATAACGCCTTTCTTCATCTGGCAGCTGATCAAATGGCGGAGCTTCTTCAGCTCGGCTCACTGGTTCTTCCTCTTCTTCTGCCAGGTTGAAGTTCCCACCTTCAGGCCAATTTGTGATAACCTCCAGAATTCCAGGGCGATTTGAGCTTCCCAATCGTACACGCTGCGTAATCAAGGCTATCCACTTGCTCCAAGTGGCATCGGTGGCATGATGCGTAGGGGGCACCTTCCCTTTGAACATCCAGCTCAAGACGGGTAATCGGGGTGCCAGGAAGAGCTGTGCTTCGGTACCAATTACCTCTGAAGCTGCTCGTATACCTTCATACGCCGCTAAGATTTCCTTTTCCACAGGGGTGTAATTGGCCTCAGAACCTCTGTAGCTTCGGCTCCAGAAACCCAGTGGTCGCCCTCGCGTCTCGCCAGGCACCTTTTGCCAGAGGCTCCAGGAGGGACCTTTATCTCCAGCTGCAGAGTAGAGCACATTCTTTACATCTGGTCCCATTCTAACTGGTCCAAGAGCCACGGCATGTGCAATTTCTTGCTTGATCTGCCTGAAAGCTTGTTGTTGCTCAGGACCCCACTGGAAATTGTTCTTTTTACGGGTCACAAAGTAAAGAGGGCTCACAATCTGACTGTATTCTGGGATATGCATCCTCCAGAAGCCTATGGCTCCCAGAAAAGCTTGGGTTTCTTTCTTGTTTGTGGGGGGAGCCATTGCTACAATCTTGTTGATTATGTCTGTTGGTATCTGGCGTCGTCCATCTTGCCATTTCACCCCTAGGAATTGGATCTCTCGGGCAGGTCCCTTGACTTTGCTCTTCTTGATAGCGAAACCGGCCTCGAGGAGAATCTGGATGATCGTCTGTCCTTTTTTGAAAACTTCTTCTGCTGTATCCCCCCATACAATGATGTCATCGATGTACTGGATGTGTTCGGGAGCCTTACCCTTCTCTAGTGTGACCTGGATCAGTCCATGACAGATGGTTGGACTGTGTTTCCACCCCTGGGGCAGTCGATTCCAGGTGTATTGAACGCCCCTCCAGGTGAAAGCAAACTGTGGCCTGCACTCTGCCGCTAAAGGAATGGAGAAAAACACGTTGGCTATGTCGATGGTGGCGTACCACTTTGCTGTCTTGGACTCCAACTCATATTGGAGCTCCAACATATCTGGCACGGCAGCACTCAACGGTGGCGTAACTTCATTTAAGCCACGATAGTCCACAGTCAGTCTCCACTCTCCATCGGATTTACGCACAGGCCAGATGGGGCTGTTGAAGGGTGAATGGGTTCTGCTGACCACCCCTTGGCTCTCCAACTTTCGGATCATTTTGTGGATAGGGATCACAGCATCTCGGTTTGTCCGATACTGTCGTCTGTGTACAGTTGTTGTGGCTATTGGCACTTCTTGATCTTTAACTCGTAGTAATCCTACAATGGAAGGGTCTTCTGAAAGGCCAGGAAGGGCAGACAATTGCTTGGACCCCTCTTCAATCACCGTGGCTACACCAAAAGCCCACCGGTACCCTTTCGGGTCCTTGAAGTATCCTCTTCTTAGGTAGTCCATACCAAGGATGCAAGGGGCTTCTGGCCCCGTCACAATGGGACGCTTTTCCCATTGGTCTCCCGTCAAGCTCATGTCCGCCTCTACTACTGACAATTCTTGAGACCCTCCTGTCACTCCAGAAATAGTAACAGTCTCGGTACTCTTATACTCCGAAGGCATTACAGTACACTGGGCTCCAGTATCTATCAAGGCCTGGTATCTCTGAGGATCCGATGTGCCAGGCCATCGGACCCACACAGCCCAGTAAACCCGGTTATCTTCTTGGTCCCTCTCCTTCTCCTGGCAGAAGGCAGGGCCCCTCTACTGGTCTTGATCAGAGCATTCGTCGTCAGAGTTTGACTTTGACTTCTTAGACTTTTTGCCATTGTCGAAGTGGACCTCCATCTTCTCGTGTTTCGGCGATCGCAGTTTCTCTTCTAAGAAATCTCCATCTACTACATAGACAACTTTCTTGTCAGTCTTCTTTCGCTTCAGCTCCCTCACTCTAGCTTCAAGCTTAGAAGTGGGTTCACCATCCCACTTCTTCATGTTTTCTCCTTTACTACGAAGGTATGCCCATAGTTGGTTACGTGACCCACGCTTAGAGTTCTCTTTCCTTCGACGTGTGAATGACAGGGATCGTGAGCAAGATCGAGACCAGGATCGAGGTCTAGGCCGAGGTCGTCTTTGTCGGTCCCGCCGTGATCTTCCCATTGGCCTTTCTTGGTAATCTCTATACCTTCTGTCCTCTCTGTCTCTAAGGTCGTCCTCATATCTGGAATATTCATAATCTCTCTCCGTTCTTTCCCTATCATAGGTGCGTCGGTACAGGGGATTGAAGGAGTCTTCCATATTTTCCTCGATGGTTCTTATCCAAGCACACATAGTGTCCACGCTTGGTTCCTCCATCTTTGGATTATATACGGGTATCAAGCAGGAAACATATGGTTTAGGGGCACCTTGAATTACCTTTTTCCACATTGGTTGCGTGCAGGGAACATTCTCAGGAACTTGGATATCATAATAATCTGGATCAGAATAGATGATCTCCAGCATGGCCAATTCCCGTAGGTATTGGATGCCTTCTTCCGCAGTCCTCCACCTTCTTGAAGAACTCTTCAGGGACTCCTTAAATGGGTATTTCACTCTCACCGCGTGGAGGATTCGGAGCCAAAGACTGGACGCCATTTTCTCCCTCCCCATTTCTTGCTCTATCACAGGGTCTCGAGCAATGGATCCCAACTGTCGTGCTTCATCACCTTCAATTACATGACTATCAGCTCCCTTGTCCCAGCATCGCACCAGCCAGGTGAGGACTTCTTCACCAGGCAAGCGCATATAATCTCTCCGTAAATCTCGAAGCTCTCTTGTGGTCAGTGATTGTGTAATTTCGCTTTCTCGCATAATTTCTTGTCCATCTCTCCCACGTAGAATCTTTTCCACCTCTCTCTTTACTCTTCCACTCCTACGTGGGACTGCTCCCACTTCCTCCCTATATCTCTCATGTGGAGGTGGAGACTGAGCATGCCGTGGGGATAAGCTTCTATATTGTTCACGCCGCGGAGATGGTTTCCTATGCCGTTCATACCGTGGGGATGGACTCCTACGCCGTTCACGCCGCAGAGATGGACTTCTACGTCGTTCATGCCGTGGGGATGGACTCCTACGCCGTTCGCGCCACGGAGATGGACTTCTGCGTCGTTCACGCCGTGGAGATGGACTTCTATGCCATTCACGCTGTGGGGATGGACTCCTGCGTCGTTCGTGATACCCAGCGGGTGGAGGTAGTGAGTAATCTTTCACGTGGTGAGATAAGGGCCTCTTCCTCCAATCATTCACACCTCCAAGAGAAGGTTGGGTCTGGAGGGGTAGGGATAATTCCCCCTCCAATTGAGGGGGATGCTTTGGCTCCTTCTTTGCGTCTTTTGTAACACTGAATGTGTAGTCAGGATATAAATCATCAAGCGACAATATACCACCGGCCGTTTGTACTGTTGCTTTCTTTTCTCTTGATGCTGTTCTGTATTCCTTTGGGCGTGCCCCTAGTTCTCTTGGACGTGCTCCTTCCCGTGTAACCGTTTCTTCCTCTCTGGTACCTGCTTCTTCTCTTCCAATCGCTCCTTCCTCAGTCACAACCACTACTTCCTCTCTCGCAGTCGCGCCTTCATCACTTGCTGTTGCTCCTTCTCCCATTGCTGCCGCTCCTTCGTCCACTACATCTTGAGTGAATTGGATAGGTTCTTCTGTTCCTTCTTCTTCTTCTTCTTCTTCTTCTTCTCTTTCTTCTGTGCGTTCTGGTTGGGGAGATGAGTCTGTAAGTTCCTTGATCTCTCTTACCCACGTCTTCTTCTTCTTCACAGGGGCAATGATGACCTTCCGGTTCTTAGCTTGAGTCCCAGTTCTAGTGGGCTTAGTAGAAATGGCATTGACTTCAAGTTGTGTTTGGACCCCAACTTCTGTGGACCTAATAGGGACATCACTGGTTTCAAGTGGCGTGGTTTGGGTTTCTGTGTCGACCTTAACCCTTTGAAGGTGGTCTATGGCAGCTCGATAAGCATTAGCCAGGCCCCAGCACAAAGCGGAGAATTGCATATTCGGATCTTTGTAGGAAAAAACACCCTTCTGCCAAACAGTGGGTCATCTCACCAGAATCAAACATTTGTTCTGGTGTGAACTCCCAATTAATGGGGGGTGACACATGTCCTACTAATCTACCGAAATCTTCCCAAGCTCCATGCCACCCGGGGACTGGCCTGTCTGCAGCCCTTTCCAAAGTTCCAGCGAGTCCCTTTGAGGTGTGATCTTTCCTACAAGAGGGAAGGCAACGGAACCCCATTCTTCCAAGTTTAAGTAGCACTTCCAGTACCTTTATCAATGACAGTACTGTTGCAATAAGATTTGTATAGTAATTAGAGCCGATTTTAACCATGGGGATTTCCTTTACCAAACCTTCGATGTCAAAATTAAAGGATGGAAGCAACTCGTTCCATCCATCCTCAAGGTCTGGACGTCTCCCTATACGGTAGCCTAACACAGGTGTAAAGGTGGCTAGAATTATAAGACAAATTAATGAAATAGCCATTGTTTTTTGTTATTATTTCTTCTTGATCCCAAAACAAACCTTTGTTTATATAAACAAAGTTTCCTTGGCTGCTTTCCCAGACTCTGGCAGTGTTCCCAGACCTGTTCCCAAAACAATAGATTGGTTTTGCAAAACAACACCGAGCTTGGCTGTCTTCCTGGAAAAATGTTTATCAAAACAAGCCAAACTTAACCAAAATATCCCACTCCTGACACCAAAAATGTTGTGCAAGTTTCGAGCTGGCTTCCTGCCAAGTCCCCGAAACTCGACAACAAGGACCCACCTCCCAGAGAGGGAAAAGAAAAACCAAGCAGCCAAAGCTATAGCAAATATATATATATATATATATATAACATATGAGACAGATACACAAAAGGAGAATACCACACACCAGGAGGAGTGGGGGGGGAAGGGGAAGGGAGAAGGACAAAAAGGGGCAAGGACCGAACAAGCCAACCAGCCGACCAAAGGCAAACTAGCAAAAATCTCACCACTTCCCTTCGAACAGGCAGGATGGCTAGACACGGCCCAAGGCTCTCCCCTCACGCGTGGCAGATAACGGTAGTCACTGTAGGCCTCGGCTCCAGATAAACCAGACCAAAACAGGGACCCGCCGTTCTCGAACCTCGCCGGAAAGGAAGAGAGCGAACTCTCTTATCAAAGCCTTATTTATACCCTAGGTTACGTAAAGGAATAGCATGGAATACTTCCTTGGTCACCTTCCCAGTTCCTTCCTGGTTACAAGCTGGTTTCCAGGAAGGCCTAGACTGAAACCATCACAACTATGCAAATGCTTTTCTTCAGCAAACAAATGCTATGCACTGGCTGGACTTCACAAAGCCTTTACACAAGCAAAAATAGAAGAAAAAGCAGCGTAACTACCAGAGTTCTCGCTACCAGAGAACTTTCACATTTATTTCAATAGAGTACATGAAATTAAGGATACTATTATATTACCTTTAACCCTTTTCTAAAACCCACAAGAGTCACTGGCAACTTTTCTGTTTTTCAAACCAGAAAGCTAAAATTAAGAGTAGCTTATATTCCCACTCTCCAGATGTTATATTTAGACTGCATCTTCCTATGTATTAAGGTATTACTAAATTTAAAACATATCACATTGATTTCCTCCTATTCAGAAACTTCCTTAGGTAGAAGAAAAGAGGGTAATTCAACATGATTTTTTCTGATTTATTAATGCCAGCTGTTGCTCATTATCTTGTTATCTTCTAGTGTTTACACAGAGATAACTTACCCTGGAAGTGAAAGTGGGCTAAGTATATTTTCCTTGGTTGCTTTCTTCTCCTCTTCCATCCTTTCAAAGACCATCACTGTGATTTCCATTTCACAGGCCTCTAGAATTTCTCTCATCCTCAATAATATAGAAATAAATAAAGGGCTCAGGACTCCTGGGCTGTTGCTCATGGACAAGTTTCATGGCAACTGCACTCACACAAATAAAACCTAAAAGGAAAAGACAGCTCAGATATTTCATGAGACAGAAATGCAGAGCCATTTAGGCAACTTCCAACTCTATTTGCAGACAGCAAGGTTACAAGCAGAGAGGAATGACAAGAATTTTTTTGTAGCTGGGGCAATGGTGAGCATACACATCATATTTAATTTGTGATGTTTATAGTTATAAACATAGCTCTCAGCATATAAAGATCAGCTGTCAAGTCCAGATGTGAGACACTGGCCTTTAACACATTAAGAAGGTAATAAAAACATGATGAAGAATGAAAAATAGAATTGCATGACATGGTAAGGACCTAAAAACATGTGGGATGTATTGCTTTTACATAGTTTTCTCTGCATCAGACTTTATGACATAAACAAAGTGTCAGATAACACAGGAACTGTGTGGTACAAGAACTGAACTAGAGAAAATTGCCTGAGTTGCCTTTCCCTGATTAGAAAATGTTTCATAAGCTTCTGACAGGCTGGAGACCACGTAATCACAACACACATTTGCAGAGGTGGATGGATCTTGATTCAATTGCCCTACTGCTAAATAAAAATCCTAATAAGACTCTGAGAGAGGTCTATTCTTTACACTGAATTAATGAATATTTGTCTGTGAGAGGAAATCAAATGTGACAGCAGACTTTCTTTGACAAAATCCCCCAAGCACTGACTATATAACCACCCTGAGCAGTGAATATATGTTTTGTTTTCAGTAATGATGTACTAGAGACCAAGCATTTACAAGCTAAGTGAACTTAGCTATCTGCCAAGAAAATGAAGGAACTGATACATGGTCAACACTACTTAAGGTTAAGATGAGGCCTGGAAATAGAGTATGCTTTGTGGATTATGCATTAATGACATACAACATAAAGACAAAAAACCTACATAGATCAAGGGTATGAATCAAGCTGGCAATCAAGGGTCAGGAGGGAGGCTTACAGCAATACACAAGCTTTAATTTGCAGTCTGCTAAGGACCAATTGCAATTGCTGTTTCCACTGAAGCACTGATGTCAACAGCTAGTCACAAGAGAACCATATTCATACCTATCATGGTCTAGCTGCATGATCTTGCATAGCCAGCAACTGAAAATAGGTCTGAGAAAAGGGAGGGCCTGGACTCACTCCGAATTAACTGAACTTTCTTTTTCCAAATTTAGGCTATATAATAGTATTGCATTCAATATAGTAGAGAGTTATTGGAAAAAACATAAGGGTGAAAGAATCATCCAGAGAACAAAAGCACTCCAAAAGGAGACTGAAAAGAGAGCCCTGATAAAAAGCCTGTGATGGAAGGACCAGCAGATTCTGCCCAGTAACTTGACAAGGGACCAGAAAGAAACCTCACAGCTATGGAGGTCCCTTCCTCCTGCAACAAGTAGGCTATGTCCTTTTGAAAGACATAGTCTTTATGAATTTGAGTATATTTTCTTCCATTTTGTACACTGAGGAAAACACAACATGTCAGCCAGAAATTCTGGAAATGAAGGTTCAGCCTGGAGCATCCTGATCTTAATGTGTGCATGTCTTCCTCCCTTCCTGAAAAATCGGCATGTGGTAAAGGAATGGTGCCAATGGGTTGGCCCCAGCCAGCATCTTAGTCCCATGCAGCTCTTCCCTCACCCACTCCCCCACACCTGTAGGTTGGGGAGAGAACCCAAAAGGTAAAAATGAGAAAACTTGTGGGCTGAGATAAAGAGTTTAATAGGGAAAGCTAAAGCCATGTAGGAAGCAAAGCAAAATAAGGAATTCATTTACTATTTCCCCCCAGCAGGCAAAAAGAACTGACATTTTGTATGATGTGAATGTTTTACATCCTTCATGTACATTTACCATTCAGTGCAAGAGTAGATGCATTTTTGTTTTCTATTTCTATTTCCTCACAGTAACAAACACTAATACAAAAAGTTCTGAGAAAACTGACTGCAAAGATGTGCAAGCTAAGTGGAAGATGAAACAGGTGCATTAGGTCTCCTTGCTGGGAGAATTCCCTCTCAGTAGGATTACTGGATTAAAATCCTACTGATACAGCTAAATATAATCTTATCAAGATCAGTCCTCTGTACATGAGAAATGTGAAGCTCTCTGCATGAAAGTTGGAGGCTAAAAAGAGGCACAGGGGGAGAAAGAGCTTCTTCAAGACAGAAAAGGAGATGATGCAGCAGATATTTAAAGAGGAGTTGTCAGACAAGAGCATACTGAAAACTGCAAAAATGACAAACCAGATCAGGGCTAAGAATACTTGAACTGGTGATGCAGAAGAATAAAAATATGCTTGTACTTGAAAAATGCCTGAGTTGAATTAAAAATCCTGTAACATCATGTCCTAAATAACTAAATATAATGCAAAAGATCAGGACTGACATATCTCATAGAGACAAGCTTAGATCTAAAGGAAGGAGGAACATTCTGTAGTGCCAATGTCTGTGACAGAATGAGTAGTTCTACACCTTATAAAATAAAAATGTGATCTAACACTGGAAAACTAAGTTTGATTTTTTTTTATGTTAGTCCTGTGCATGACTGGAGTAAGTGATGGATTACTGCAGTAAAAGTAATTTCATAAGGATAGCATTCATAACTGTGAAGAAACTGAAGACAATGAGATTTTCTGTACTGAAAATTATAAATACTTCAGATAC